GCATGTGATCAGCTGGTTTTGGTTGTCAGCAGCAAACTGGTTGATCCACTCTAAGAAGGTGCTATTTAAGAGACTGAGCTGAATACAGCACCTCAGACTGAGGAAGTCTCTTGGATGAGAGACGAAACGTTTCTAGATTTCTTTTGCTTTGTTTTGCTTTTGTTTTTTTTTAATGTCCAGAGGACCAGATTGAACTTTTTTGGATTTTTCTACCTGGATTATTGAGCATGCATCAGGATACTTGTTCCTTTTAATTTAAAAATTATGCTCTGCTTTGTTATGTGGGTTTTTAGGTTAAAATCTTCATCTGTCGCCGTTTGTAATGTAAAACAAAAACCTCTTCCTGGTTAAAGTGCACATATTCTCCGGTAAAAATATCCCTATTTTTATATTGTGACGCCCTGCTAGATACTGAAATAGAGGACAGCCTGAATAACCATCACTTTATTGCATAAATAGTTACTGTCAGCTGTAACCATGCCAGTACAACAACAAACTTGTTAGTACAAATATCCCAGTTTTTATAAGAAAGGCTGGTTGCATATACAAAGTACATTATAATAATTGTTTTAGTTTTAGATTTAAGATATGACGTGTACGTTGTATGTTGTGTTAAATTTTAGGCTAAGAGTTGATTTTTCTCAGTTTATTTCCTCACACCAGGGGCGTTCTAGAAGCCCTTTTTAGGGGCCTTAGCCCCCCAGTGTTAACAATGGATCTTGGCTTGAACCACGCAGTGTGTATTAGCATTAGAATTATTGTAGGGAGGACATATTGGTGCGAGGTCTGTGGGTCCTCCCCATAACATTTTGAATAAAGTAGCTGCCGTTTCCTGCATTCTGGTGTATTTTAACACGTTTTAAAACATCTATTTTTACTTACATGAGTAAATCCTTTATTCAATAACTGTTTTAGAAAGCATGGCACAAGAAGTAGCACTAACCTTTTTGTTAGTCTTTAATTTAATTTAATTTGTCTACCTAACACAGGAAGCTAGAAGCAAACTGTTAAACAGCTTTGGACACAAAGACCCTTGTCACACTTCAAAAGAGCAGGTAAGATACATAAAATCTTGTAATCTCTGCCTGGTGAGGCTGCTTAAATAATTATAAAATATGATAAGTGAAATAAAGAAAAATTGAGCTACTGTAATTTATATTTGCAAATGTCACATTTTCTTGACTTAATTTCAATTGTAAATCTCTTGTTTTTGATTAAATATTTTTTTCCAAAAGAAAGGCCAACAAATTGTAATTTGTAGTCACGGTAACCCTATTTTGACTTGTGCACTGTCTTCTTTCACTTTTAGGTTATGAAAGGCGCTGGACCGGTCACTGAAGCTGTGCAGAGATGAGGTGGAACACCAGACCTGCAATGCTCCACTGTGTAAATGATGCTCTGAAGTCTGGTAAGCTGCACAACATCCTGCTTCGCCGAAACGAGCTCGTCACCTCAACCACATAGACTGAACTTCTTGGGGACGTCGTCCAATGTATAATAACGGCTTTACATATTTTTATTTGTTGAATTCTCTTGCTTGGTACATTATTTTTCTTTTCTTTTTTGTTTAAACAATTTAAAACATGACAGTAATGTCGCAGTTTAAAGGAAACAATTGCTCAATAAATTAGTAAAATGGAACTTGTTATGTTTGGGTTCTTTCATCTAAGGTAGACATGGTGTAACCCATGTATTGGTTTTGATTTTTTGTTTTTACTGTAACTGACCTTCAAAAGAGCCAGAAACAGGAACTGAGCAGCTGATCCTCCGTAGAAAAATTATATAGACTACAGACCATGTATAATTAGGCCCGAGCAGCGAAGCGCTGCGAAGGCCTATTGTAATTGATCCGTTCATTATTACGATTCTTGGTCCGAAAGAATTGCTCATTTGGAGGGGTTAACATATCTGAAAACTCACCAAACTTTACCCAAAATTGTCCCCCGCGTGAAATTTTAGTATTTTAATGGAACCAAAAGTGGGCGTGGCCAAACTGCTCAGCAGCACCCCCTAAAAAGAGATAGGACAACTGGTACATCCTAGAGAGCTGAAATTTGGTACATAGGTAGAACTCCCTGAATCAAGAAAAAAAGTCTCTTGGAGGTATGCCCTAAACCCAACAGAAAGTCGCCCATTTTGGGTCAAAGGGTCATTTTTCACTTTTCATACATGGCAAATTTTAACAAACTCCTCCTAGGCATTTTGAGAGATTGCCTTCAAACTTGGTGGATATGACCATAAGACATTGGGAAATAAAAGTTATCAAAAAAAATTGCGTTTTCATAAATGTTGAAGGTGCGTGGCCAGGCCTCAAAGTTACAACACACAACGTAATTTTTAAACGTTATAACTTTCACATTGGAAGAACAAAATGTACAAAACTTGGCATAAGCCATCCCTGTTCGATGCCCGACGATCCTCTGTGGTCATATTCTGACGTCATCAAAGCCCCGCCCCCTCAGAACAGAAAGTTATTTTTTTGCTTGGAATGCTCCCTCTCTGACTTCCTTGACCTAAACAGGATGATCCTGTGTTAGAAGACATATAACAAGATGGTCTGACTTGCTTTAAAGCTCAAACCGTTTTCGCTGGAGAATGTGGGCATGGCGAAGTCAGAAGTGACGCCATTGCAATGCGCTTGGCTCTAAATTCCACAGATTTGAACCGAGGTTCACCAAAATCACTATGATATATCATTATCCACACCTTGAACAGGAAGCCATGATAATTGGCCAATAGCCTCCACAGCACCCCCTAGAATATTTTAAAACCTCAGCCCCCAAGCCCTTTTTGGACCGATAAATCTGAAACTGTAAACATCTGTATCTTCTCAAGACCTATGAAAAAGTCTCTTAGAGCCCTGGTCCAAACTCAACAGGAAGTCGGCCATTTTGGGTCAAAGGGTCATTTTTGGGCGTTTCTAATGGCAAATTTTAACAAACTGCTCCTAGGGATTTTGAGTGATTGCCTTCAAACTTGGTTAATATGCCCTTAAGACATTGGAGAGTAAAAGTTATCAAAAGCTTTCAGTTTCGTTTTGGTAAAGGGGCGTGGTCAGGCCTCAAAGTTGCGCTTCACGCCATAAATTTACAAGCACTAAAACTTGCACATTGAAAGAACGTAATGCAACAAACTTGGCATGACTTATCCCTGGTGGATACACAACGATACACTGTTGTCATATTTTGACATCATGAAAGCCCTGCCACCTCAGACCAGGAAGTCTGTTTTTTACTTGGAATGCTCCCTCTTTGACACCAATGACCTAATCAGGATGATCCTGTCTTAGAATACAGATAAGATAGTCTGACTTGATTTAAAGTGCAAACCGTTGTTGCTGGAGGATGTGGGCGTGGCAGCATGGCGAATTAAGAAGTGACGCAGTTGCAATGTTTGGCTCAAAATTGCACAGATTTCAACCGAGGTGCACCAAAATCACTACGATCGATCATTATCCACCCCTTGAACAGGTATCCATGATAAGTGGCCAATAGCCTCCACAGCGCCACCTACATTCTTCTTACAGTTATATCTCAGTGATACAACATTCGATCTGAACCAGATTTTTGGTGCTTCATTAGTGAGCACTTATGAACACAATGGTATTGTTTTTTAAACTTTTGACTAGTGCGTCCCCTACATTATTCCAACAGTTATATATCAATGATACATCATCCAATCTGCACCAGATTTTTGTTGCGTCATCTGTGAGCATTTCGAGACACATTGGTATAGTTGTTTAATATTTGACTCAAGTGCGCCTCCTAGATTATTTAAACTG